CTGATAAGGAGCATGCATCAGCTTCTTTGTAAAATATGGTCGGACGAAAGCATGCCCAACGATTGGAATTTAAGTGTGCTATGCCAAATCCTCAAAAAAATAGACCCCAACTAATGTGGGATAACCTTCCTCAATATCGCATATAAGGTTCTATCGAGCGTATTGTGTGAAAGATTAAAGCCCACCGTCAACAAGCTCATTGGACCTTATCAGTGTCGCTTCAGACCTGGAAAATCAAAAACCGACCAGATATTCACCCGACTGGAGCGCTGTTGTTAACTCGGCTATAATATAAATGTAAGCGGTGACTACGTCAATTAAGAAGAAAAAATTAATATTCGTAGACATTTGACATGCATTATTAAGTGTATGTGAAATTTACACCATTTTCAAAGTATTTGTTCTTTACTCACCAGCCAATAAAATTCTTCCAATTAACTCATTTCGTCCAATATTATCAAAATCCATTACCATTACATCTAAGGAGCATTCCCGTATCTTCTCCCATGGTACATTGAAACTAAATGACTCATTAAAGACAGGATTGAGTGTGCAATTAAATATTGGAGTCTTTCGTTTTTCGACACGTTTATCGCCAAATTGTAGCCAGACTTTAACATATGGATCTGAAAGGAATTTCCGATTGGATTTTATGACAGTCAAAGTCTTTGCAATTTTATACATGTATATAAGATATATATATTGTTTGTAAGTGTATCTATAACTTTTAATAAACTTGTATGTATGAAGGTGATATATAGTATGGATATTCTTAGTTCTGCAATTACTTAGTGCGGGTAGATTGTGTGATGACTGATTCGCCGGATCCTTTCAGTGCATTTACAAACATATATAAATTTAAATCTGTCCACTCACGCATAATATATATTTTTCTATCGTAAAAACTATATACATACAGGGTTTGTTCGGAAAGTAATAGGACTGATTTCTTCCGCCGCCACTCTACTGGCGTGCGCGCACTAACTGTATTCGGTAGAGGGTGTTCCTAGCTAACGAACAAGCGGCTGGTCAGTTATCTCCGAGCATCTGGAGAGTCAGGACAAACTTTTTCACGCGACGTGTTTCTGTGAGTGGTGTAACCCGAAAATGCAGCGTTCTTTAGAGCAGAGGTGCGCGCTTAAATTCTGTGTAAAACTCGATAAATCTGCGACAGGCACGTTTGATATGATCAAACAGGCTTACCCAAATGTTGCCTTAGCCCTTTTTGGAGAGACGGGTAGAGGTCGCTGATGAATGAGCAAATCCAAAGTGAAAACGATGCTCATTGCCTTTTTTTGACATCAATGTCATTGTCCATCATGAAATTTTTTTTGCTTCTAGATAAACCGTCAAAGTTTTACGTGGAAGTTCTCAAGAGACTCAAATGAAGGGTCATCGGGTCCAACAAGACATCGCAGCCGATTGGAAGTTGCAAAACGACAACGCCCGGCTGACCCCGCCTTTCGTGTGAACAGCTATCTAACCAAGGCCGACATCCCATCGCTTTCGCAGCCACCCTACCCTCCAGATGTGGCTCCACCACTTTTTTGTTTCCTTGTCTGAAAAGGCCGATGAAAGAGGATCCAAGCTGCATGCACCGCGCCTCTCAATTCTATTCCGGAGAATGTCCTCCGTGACGAATTCAATGCTTGGAAAGAGAAGAAGGAGACTATTTCGACAGTTTTCAAAGAAGTATAAAGATTGGTTTTTTTTAATCGACTCAGTTTTATTACTTTTCGGGCAAACCGTGTATACATTTTTGTATACTGTATTTTCAACACAAATAAATAAAGTTTGTTTAAAAGTACATAGTTTAAAAAGTTGAGCTGACTTTTGAATATTTGTTTTTAATTTAAACGGATTGTATGTTTGTGTTCCAAAAGATTCCGGAAAGGTTGTTTAGGTATTGTAATGCACTTACAGAGATCACTAGAATCTGAGTACATATGTGCGAAAGGAGCAAAATATATATACACTGCACGTCATCAGATTGTCGCTTCATTCGCTTAGTTTTAACATCTCTTAACTATTTTTTTGCTGTATGCGAATTCTTGACTATTTTCGTTGCTTTTAAATAGGCAGATTTACCCTTTTTAACAGAAAAATTGAACTCATGGGAAGTGCTTCTACTATATATTTATTCTTGGATTGTTCTATTTTTGGTGAAAATGCCTGCACGTATTTGCACCGTCAAATTAGCAATAAATTCCAACAAATGTTAATTTAATTATCTCGCATACCCACAGTGGCAAACGTTTTTGTGGTGTTTAATTAGTTCGTTTGTTGAAAAGGGAGTCGCAAGAGCATGCAGCAAATTAAGCATTATCAAGCAGCAAAATCCACCATGTAAAATATCTTATTTTTTTCATTCATGCTGGCCAATGCCTCTTAATTTGGATCATTGGGAGCCGTGGTATGTATCTCGTCTCATCCGCGCACCCTTGGTATTCCACTGATTCTACCTTTAAAATTTTGTACTCAAGGATAGGTACCCCTGTAATACTGTTAAGTTCCCTTTTGCCTAGAAGTTGAATTAATAAGTTTTCTAGAAATTGGTATGCGATGTGGTTATATCTTTGGGTAGTTCTATTCGTCAATGAATTATGGAAAATCGAAGCAATTTATGAATAGGGAAACGAAAAAAATGTCTGTTTTATTTGAAATCAAGAAACAGTTAAAACTTTAACGGTAGCTAAAATAGTGTAATTATTGTAATTAAGGCGGGGAAATCCAGCGCTTATCTAATGATGCGCTGTGTATATAGTATATTTGTTTACGAATAGGAGAGATATTGAGGCTTAGAACATATCCATATTATTACGTAAACGTTGTTGTTTTCGTCCATGCAAAAATAGATACACGAATTTTCGTATGACCAGTTAGCTTAAAAATGGCACAATGATTTACATATCTTTAAAAAATTGCCCCTCAAGCAATTCCTTAAGAAGTTATCTTATAGTACCGGCTTGGGACATTTCACAAATATTGTTGGCATTATGAAGGAAGTTTAGTTATAAGTATCCTCATATAAAAATTGCAACATATTTCAAGTAGAATTTATCACGGTATACCCATTCGAATTATACGAAATTTTTAACATCTTTGAATTGTTTTAATTTGTACACAGTTTATCGTAAACGATCATTCGCGCACGCCGGAAATGTAGTAAGGATGATCATAAACAAATTAAGAGCCTACGGTCTAAAACTAGTTTTAAACTAGCGGGATTACAAAAAATTTTTGCGTTAGGTTTTTAGATATCCGAATGAAAGTTAAAACATTTGCTATTAAATTGTTAATTTGTCGGAATCGGCCAGATAGGCCAAATATATCATATAAATGTGTATTCGGACTGCTTACCGATTATTCAGATATTTTATTATCAGGTATTCTACCTTTAATTAATACGTGCTAACAGCACCTCATTTTGCAGAATTGTTCTCTAATGCATAAACTTCGCGTTAAGAAGCGATGGTTCAAAACCATCTTTAGAAACATATTCTCTTAAAAAAAATTGTTCAGAATCAAGCGTAAAATATATTCCGCATACGCAACTTTTCCGTTTTTAAGCACCCTGGAAATTCAATCCGCTTCAAGATACATACAAACTTTATATATAGTATGTAAGTATATGCATAAGAAGATAATGTACATATAACAGAAGTTATACAAATTTGTAAATGTATGCTTCAAGCTTATGATATTTGTAACTTTATAATTTGATCGATATATGAGTTATGTTCGCATTATATGTACCTATGTATGTATGTACATAAGACATTGTGCGTGAATATATGTTTACTATTAACTTACCTGATTTGCCATTGATATCTTTTGCTTTCAGATTTCGCGCTTTAATCAATGTTAATGTTAGTACTGAATTTGATGGATGATAGCAAAGCGATGAAAGCAATTCACCGCATTTATCCTTAGCCGGTGGTTTCAGTGCTTTCCAAAATGATTGCTTGCTAGCGAAATCAACCTATACGTATGTCATACACACATGTAATAGATATAAAGGGATAATGAAGATGTAAACCTTGATAAAAACTATTTGCTATTTCTATATAATACAAATCAAAACTTTTAGACACAAAAGACTCTACAAAAATTCTTTCTTATTTGATCATCATATAATATATGTACTTATTGTGTAATAATATTTTAAGTCTTCAGTGACTCGTCGGCTCGTCAGTGACTGTAGGATTAAATATACATAAATGTTCTCTTATTATTAATTAAATATCACTTACTGTTGCTGTACTTGAAAATTAAATTAATCACACACCACTAAAATATCTTATATATAACAAGTAAGAAAGAGCTAAGTTTGGCTGCAACTGAACATTTTATACTCTTGCAACTTGATAGAATTAAAGCCAAGAAAAAACATTTAAGGTGTAAAACGAGAGGACCGGAATCTGGGAAATTTTACATATACATATACTCTATAGAACTCATACATTGGCAGATAAATTCGGAATAAGATTTGTTAGAAAAACGAAAGTTGTGAAAGTATCGACCCGATATTATCCATTAACTATCATTAAGGTACCTCAGATACAATCACCAATCATATGGAGCAAACTCAGCCGGATGTTCGAAAATCTTGGTAATGGTTAAAAGACCTAGCTCGGTCAGAGAACGTAAAGTATAGAGAAGGTGCAAATCGAAATCTGTATGATGTTCGATTGCGCGGCTAACAGAGCTGATAGATTTATAGTAGGGAATTCACCATTTAYRCTGCTATTTAGCAGAATTGAGCACGTTCTCTGGCAAAAATATATGTAAAACGACTGAATTCAGGCGAGAAT